GGGAACACAAGCAGGGGGAGTGGGAGAGGGAGAAGCAGGCCTCCCACGGAGCAGGGAGCCCAACGTGGGGCTCGATCCCAGGACCCTGGGATCGTGACCCGAGCCGAAGGCAGACGCTTAAGGACTGAGCCACCCGGGTGCCCCAAAGCTGGGTATTTTAAGAGGATGAATTATCTAGAGAGAGGAGGGTGGCTCTTTGGTTAAAGTTGTGAGAGTAGCCATATTCTTTTTAGAATCTGAATAGTCCCTCAGTATGTGATGCTTATCTTCATTATATCATTTAGTGTATTATAGTTGTGCTACATGTGTGTATTTACTTTCTTGTTATGTTGTGAGTTTCTTAAGGGAAATAAGAGCTTTTCGTTACCTTTTTCAAAGATGCTTGACAAAGTGCCTAGGAAATAATAGGTGTTCAAGAAAAGTTTGTTGAAAGAGGAATATACGTATTAGAAAGGAAATGTTATTTTTTTTAATATATAAGCTTTGAAGAAGTTGGAATTCTGTGTGAATTATCAGAAGTAAATGGTAGTGAACAAAATTCTAGAATTCTCCATATGCTTAATGAAAACGTACCATATGCCAGGAATTATACTAGGACTGAGACCCAGTTCCAGCCTCTTTGAGAGTTTGAATTCTAGGAAAGATAGATAAATAGTGTATGCTAACGAGTAAAAGGAAGAAGAAATTTAGAATTAATTTTCCAACATAGTCCTAGTTTTTGGAGAAGTCCTGTGCTCAAGTTAAGAATGAAATCAGTTATTGGTGTAGTCATTGTGAGTCAAGCCCATCTGGTAAAGTGTGTTCTAACATCATGGCCAATTTCCAATTTGATCGATTAGCTTTCTCTTAAGAAATTTAAGCCAAATGAAACTGCCACGTCACTACTAGGTAAAACTCTCTCTTTTTCTCCTTGCATAGGTCTATGTGTGTATAAATATGTATATTTTAAGAAGGACCTGCTGTTTTTAAGATAATTGTTATATAATTGAAGTAAGATTTCAGAGAACTAAAATTATTTGTGACAAATTTACATAGGATGGTAGATTGTTAAATGTATATATATTTAATATTTAATAATCCCAGAAACCATCATTTTTGAGAATAAAATTTTATAATGGGACTACATTACTGAATTTAACAGATGTTAAATTTTCAGCTATCTTACTGATCATATTGGCAGTCATTTTCAGTGTGCTACTCAGGTTTTTTTGGTTTTTTTTTTGAAGCATTGTTGAGAAAATTAGATGAGTTAATTTCTGTAAAGCCTTAATTACAGTGGCTCACTGAATGGTAGCCATTACTATTAAGGTATATATTTGAAAGAGTATAATGTGTTGCTACAAAATTAATTTTATTATTGATGGTTTCTGGGGGGTAGAATAAATTATTTATCATTCATGTGGTGATTTTCTGTGTTCAGAATGCTTTCCTGTATATCCCTCCATTTGCTCATCAAACCGTAAGGAGGAGAGGAAGGTGGTCATCCAATCACAGATTAGTGTTAGAGCCTAGATTGAAATGCAGGTTGACTACTAGTTGATCTTTTCATCCTTTTGTCTCTGATAAAGAGGTTTATAAAACTGAGTGAAAGGTTTCTTTGCTTATTCCTCTTCAAGGCATTAGAAGGCCAGCGTATTTTGGTAGAAAGATTAGCATTTTGTGGGATATCAAGTTTTCATTCAAAGATTTAATGAAACAGGTTTTTTTTTTTTAAAGACACATTTTTCCTTAATAATAATCTTTTATAGCTTGTAATTTTAGTGGTATTGCAAGTATGTAAAATATGTCATTGTGATTTTAAAAATAAATTGGTTAACATATTAATATGTGTTTTGTTTATTGGCTTTCATGGTTGTTAAAATCTGTACCCTTTGTTACATGATTTGTGATAATGTGTTTTAGAAGATTCAGTAGGCATTCCATTTGCAATATTGTTAATTATGGGAAATTACAGAATTACTAAGAATTTTAGAGCTGGAAGAACCCTTTCAAGAGCTTCCATGGTGTTTAGTCATTTCCTGAGACAGGCTAGTTTTTATAACTTGAAACCTTAATAGTAGAGGGATAAGATTGTCTTCAGAGGAGAGATCTTGAGGGGTTTGGGGTAAAAATGGTGGGTATTAAAACTTTTGAAATAGGTTGAAGCCACCATTGTTTGCAAATCCTTCTTGATAGGGATTTTCAGCTAAGTTTAGAGGATTTCTTGTTGCTGTTTACTGAGAACTGACAGGTAAAGCATAGCAATTTGCTGGGTGAGGTCTTTTTGTTGAAACCCATGGCTCTAGCCTAGTATCCTCTTGGCAGGTAAGAAAACAGGCCTGGAAGGATTGTAACTTTGTTTAAAAGGCAATAGCTTGTTAATGTTGGATTCAAGATATTTGGATTTCCAGTCCTTTTTATCACCTTGCTGTGGTAACATTTAAATTTGCAAGCAAGTAACTTCTTAAGGATTTCTTCTTGTAAATTTCCTATACCTAGATCTAGTGCTGTACATCTTGATAATTTCTAGCGTTAAACCTACTACTTATAACTAATATAAGAATTTATGTTAAAACTGGGCTAGCAGTATAGGGAATGAAGAACAAAATGACAGCCCCCAAAATAATATTTTTGAAGTGCAAATGTTAACAAACTTCATTTTGATGTTTTTTTATAGTAACATTTATTGTGCTGTATATATCCTGACTTCTTTGATATAGTATTTCTTAGGAGAAAAATCCCTGTAAATATTATTTCCCTCTTTTATGGTGACACAATAAGAGTCATTAATAGTATAATTAATAATCAGTTTGACTATATGTGTGTATATGAATGTGTGTGAATGATAAAAAGTTTGTGCAGCCCACTGGCAATTTTTAGACATGAGTTAAACCACTTCATTTTTACATGTTTTATAGTCTGATCAGGGTTCTTCTGCACACTATCATACTTTATAGGTTGTACTAGGGATGATCAACCTCTAACAGCAGCAAGTAGATAATATTTGATGCCAGTAAGGTGATTGCTCAAGAGGCAGAGCTCTAGGTACATTTGCAGAGAAGGCAAAATTGTTTTGGACTTCTTTCATCTTTTTCCATCCTTTTTTGCTTTTTATCTTTGGTCTCCCCAAGGCCCAAAGTCTCCTCACTAATATTCATTTCTAGGTTGCCTTTTTTTTTTCTAGGTTGCTTGCATTCTTTATTTTCTTCACTCCACGAGCAGTTCTTCCTTTACTAGAAAATCTTTCTTGTTTTATCTGTTCTGTAAATCTGAATAAAATAATTGTTTCAAGTGTGAATATAAATAACCTGAGCATGGGGGATAAAGTTATTTTTTTCTTAAGGTAGTAACTCTCATTCTGATGATAAAAGTATTACATGTTCATTGAAGATACTAAGGAAATAGAAGGAAAATAGGAATGCCCATCATAACAGCTCTCCAGCCAGAGATAGCTACTTCTGAAATGTGTTTCCTTTCTGTCTTTTACACGTGGATATTAGTGTTTGTTTGTTTATTTAAACCGAATTTAGTTAACATAATGTATTATTAGGTTCAGGGTAAAGTTTAGTGACTCATCAGCTGCATATAACATGCATTGCTTGTTATATTAAGTACCCTCCTTAATGCCTATCATCCCCCCCACCCATTTCCCCTCTAGCAACCCACAGTTTTTTCCCTAGCGTTAAGAGTCTCTTATGATTTGTCTCCCTCTCTGTATTTTTTTTTAAAGATTGATTGATTGATTGATTGATTGATTTGACAGAGAGAGACACAACGAGAGAGGGAACACAAGCAGGGGGAGAGGGAGAGAGAGAAGCAGGCTTCCCGCAGAGCAGGGAGCCCGATGCGGGGCTCGATTCCAGGACCCTGGGATCATGACCTGAGCCGAAGGCAGATGCTTAACGACTGAGTCACCCAGGCGCCCCTCCCCCTCTCTTTTTATCTTAATTATTTTTCTTTCCCTTCCCCTATGTTCATCTGTTTTGTTTCTTAAATTTCATGGATATTAGCATTTATTTATTTATTTTTAAGAAACATTTTCTGTATTTATTTGACAGAGAGAGAGAGAGAGAGAGAGCACAAGCAGGGGAAGTGGCAGGCAGAGGGAGAAGCAGGCTTCCCGCTGAGCAGGGAGCCCGATCCGGGGCTAGATCCGGGGCTCGATCCCAGGACCCTGGGATCATGACCTGAGCTGAAGGCAGCCACTTAACTGACTGAGCCACCCAGGCGCCCCAGGATATTAGCATTTAAAAGTGGAAGTTGAAGTGTCTTTTTTTTGGAGGAATGGTAGAAAGGAGGAGACTTCTAAATCAGGGGAGTTTTCTGACTTCCCAAGATAGCTCTCACCTTGCCCTGATTCTCTCTGTGCTTCAGCGTGCTTCACAAACACTGGTCCTAAGGAATGTCTTTGCAAAAAAGAAGCCAAGAGTTCGGAAAATACGGTGTATCCTATCTTTTTGGAGTTTAATGAATTGCAAGTTCTGAGAAGTTCTCCAGTGGAATTTGTTTAGCTTATTTAGTTGAGCAGTTCTCGATCGTACTTGACTGGGTTTTGTTTTGTTTTGTTTTTCTATTATAATACAGAACTTGTTGGGGCATACTGTTTTGTAAACCCTTGCTATTGAATTGTGGTCCAAAGACCACTGGCATATGCATCACCTGGGAGCTTTTGGAAATGCAGAATCTCAGGGTGTCGGCTGGCTCAGTTGGAGGAGTGTGCGACTCCTGATCTCAAGGTTGTGAGTTCAAGTCCCACGATGGGTGTAGAGATTACTTAAATAAATAAAACCTTAAAAAAAAAAATGCAGGGCGCCTGGGTGGCTCAGTTGGTTGAGCGACTGCCTTCGGCTCAGGTCATGATCCTGGAGTCCCTGGATCGAGTCCCGCATCGGGCTCCCTGCTCAGTGGGGAGCCTGCTTCTCCCTCTGACCCTCCCCCCTCTCATGTGCTCTCTCTCTCTCTCATTCTCTCTCTCTCAAATAAATAAATAAAATCTTTTAAAAAAAAATGCAGAAGCTCAGGTCCCACCAAGGATTTATGAGTCAGAACCTGAATTTCAGCAGGATCCCTAGATTATTCAGTATGCATATTAAAATGTGAGAAGCACTGCTCTAGTTTTTTTTCAGGATAAGATAGTGAGGTGGGCAGGCTCTGAGGTACTCATTCCATTTGAACTGCTTTTTCCAAAGGGCTTTCCTCTTTTGGGGCTGCACACATGTGTGTAGGCAGGGTTGCATGTACGTGCGCATGTGGGTGTGCATTTGTGTACAGGCATGTCAGTGTGGGTGTCTCTCTGTTTATGGTGCCTCCTCTCTGACCAACACTTCCCTCATGAACTCTTACATTCAAAAGTGCCTCCTCCGTTAACACTTCCTCCTTCTTAGCCCTGTTTGTGATATCTGTACACAACCATACATTCCTTCACCCATACAGCTCATTCAGGGCTGACTTTGGGAAACCTGTGAGAGAACAAGTTGCAGGAAATAAGGGAGTAAGGAGAAGATGTGTTTGCCAGTTTAGAATCAAACAACAGGTAAAGGGGTAGAAATGAACTAGCCTTCCCTCAGAAGAACCCAGTAGATTTTAATTGTGTTGTTTGGGGCCCTGAAGTCTTATGAAATTGTCTCAGTGCCTGTCAATAGGAGCAAGCAAGTGGGGTTCCATGCTCCCACACTCCACTTCAGCCACATCATCTATGCTCTTATACACTTTATTTATTGGGATTTCTTTTAATTTTTATTTTCGAAAAGTGTTTTGCTATCAGAACTTTTTTTTTTGAAAACCACTGCCCTGTTCCATTCATTTAGCCTTCTACCACTTAAATTCTTCAGTTCAGCACAGGCTAGGTTAATTGTAACTGGACTTCTTAGCCTCACATTTCAAAGGCAAGAGCTAATAATAAGTTTAGTGTAGTGATGGGTGGATTTGAAACTTTCTCCCTTGAAAAGCCTTTTCTTTTTCCTTCCTTCCCTGTATCTGTCCTTTCTCCTCACCCATCTTATTAGACACTTTGCTCTTTTTTTTTTTTTAAAGACCAAAGCTGGTAAAACCTAGAGCTGCATAATCATTGATTAGATGAGTAATGAGCAAAATAATTTATAGATGAGAAATATGTTAAATTCATAATGTCATCAAATTATACTTTTTGGTAAAATTAATAAGGCTATTCCATTATCTATAAGAATGCGGTTATCACATTTGGTCAGTATTCCTTACTTTCCAATTTTCGTAACTTAATGCCTCTGATCACGTAGCATTTTTCTGTACTTATTATTCCTTGGTAATTGACATTTTAATTGTAATCTTGCCATCTTCCACTTGTGTAGGACTTGCATTATATATTCATATTTTGGGCGCAGGAAAATTTATCTAGTTTTATTTTTTCACCTGCCTGTTTGTTTAAAATTTTTTTTAAGACTTATTTATTTGACAGAGAGAGCGCGTGAGCACAAATAGGGGGAGCAGCAGGCAGAGGAAGTGGGAGAAGCAGGCTTCCCGCTAAGCAGGAAGCCTGATGCGGGGTTCTATCTCAGGACTCTGGGACCGTGACCTGAGCTGAAGGCAGACACTTAACCGACTAAGCCACCCAGGTGCCCCGTTTTTAATTTTTATGTGTATTCAGTGTAATGGAAAGCAAAAAAAAAAAAAAAAAGAAAGAAAATAGTCAATATTTCAGAGTTCCCTGCAGTTATATACTATAGTGGTGAAGACTTTGGACTGTCGAGCTTGATTGGGTTTAAATATTGGTCTCACCCACCACTTACTGGCTGTGTGACCTTGTGAAAGTTAATCAACTTTTTGAGCCTCAGCTTTTATGTTTATAGAATAGAATTGATAATAGCCCTACTCATAGAGTTGTGAGGATTAAATGTGATCATTCTTGTAAAGTACTTGACAACAGTGCCTGGCATATAGTAAGTCCTCAATAAGTGTTAGCTAAAACAATCAAATACATGAGTGGTGATATAATTTAGGGGTATAACAGTCCCTTTTGTCAAGGATGGGGTTCAAGTATGCTCTAACAAAACCAGAGCATAAGAACAAGTGTTTTCTACTAAAAGATATCATTTCCAGAAGTTGCTTCAGGGATAATCTCACCTACCCACCCCCTCTCCCTACCTCCCTCTTCTCTTTCCTACCCTATTTGTGCCTGCAGAGAGAGATGTGTGTGTGTGTGTGTGTGTGTGTGTTTCCTAGTAACCTGATGTGGCTTGTCACATAAACATTTGGGGCTTACCAGTAAAAGTTTTAACATCTAAAAAGCACTTTAGTAGTACAATAATGGTAAGCTGTTGGGGGGCAGCTTGTTGGGGCAAGCTTGGGGCAAGCTGTATATAGACTTAAGAATTGAATAGTTAAAAACAGCATTTTTTGCTCTTTGCCATAGTTAAAGAGCAAGTCTGTTTCCAGGGTTGGATTGTCAGAAAGCATTGTCATGATCTTTTTTAGGCCACTTTTGTCATCTGGTATATTATGCTGTTTCTTCTACCTCGCATTATCCAGTCCTGCACAGTTTCTTTCTTGATTTTTGTGAGTGTTCAGGTATCATCTCTCAAGGAACATTTCTTTATCTCTAGGCCAGAATGAATGCCCTTTCAATTAACTCTTGAAGCATTCTATGCAAAAATGTGATGAGTGTAATTACATAGTGTATTGACATCATTTTGTTTCTGTTGCCTTCTCCTTCCCAGGACTGTAATCTCTTGGAGAGCAGTACCGTTTGTCCTGGAATCACATTTCAGCTTAAATCTCCACCTTGCCATTTATAGCCATATAACCTTATGGCTTTATGGTGATGATTCAGTGTGATAAATGATGTAAGGAACTTAGCATATTAATAATGATAATTTTAAATAATATTAATAAAAATTCCCAATGCCTGTCACCATGTCTTACATAGGTATTGATAATGCTTAACTGCAAAGGCTCTTTATCATTTATCTGATTTGCTTTAAGCTGTTTTGCACTTCTTGTTTTTTAAGGAACATTTATATAATATAATTTTATTTCATGAGCCTGTGAGTTGAATGGAGTATGTTTTATTACGCCCATTTTACTTGACAAAAGAACTTGTATTAACCAAAGTTACATTCTTACTCAACTTTTAAAAAATGTTTTCTTTGCCATCAGTATAATGTATAGTTTAAACCACAACCAAGAGCATTTTATTCCATCTTGTGTCATGCTTACTTGTTTGTTGAATCTGAACTAGAGGCGGAGAAACCATTTAGTGGAAGCCATTACAAGTCTACGCAAGAGACAGTAGTGGCCTGAACAAGGATAATGCCAGTGGGAGACAGAAATGAATAGATTCTAGATATATTTAGAAGGAAATTTATAGGATTTGATGGGTGGCTGGATATGGTTCTGGGAGGTAGGAAGTTGGGTTGTAGAGAGGGAAGAATCAAGGATGAATCCCAGGATTCTGGCTCAAGTAAGCAGCTTGGTTAATGTGCTTTTCATTGACATGGGAAATAGGATAGACAGTTTTGGGGAAAGGTAATATTTCACTTGTAGATTTGTTGAATTTCAGGTATCTGAGGGAAATCTGAGAGGGAAGATCTGTGAGACAGTTGGATATGTGGGGCTTAAGTTTATGAAGGAAAACAGGGCTATAAATATATGCTTGGTGTAGTCATCAGCATACATGATCCAGTTGAAGCTATGGGAGTAGGCAAGACAGATCAAGGACAGAATAGACTGCATAGCATGAGAAAAGAGAACCCAGGACAGAAACTTGAGAAACATCACCACGTTTTTGTGATGGTAGAGAGCATCCCACCAAGACAAAGAAAGAATTGGAGGAGAAGGAGAAATAAGGGGAAAGAAACGCAGGAGAGTGTAATGTTACAGAAACAGGGAAGAGATTTTCAAAAGGAGAGGACGTGGTGAGCCATGTCAAATGGCCTTTCATCAGATAGAATCTTATTTTTCCCTTTGCATTCTGTGTAATGATGTTTAATGGGTGTTAAAATTTATATTTTAAGTTATAACAAGATAATCCTGCATAGTGCTTGTACTAAGCTTTTCATGAAAGTTACAGTAGTTCTGTCTATAGGTTAAATAAAGGAAGTTAATATCGGTAGGGCAGGAGATGAGTAAAATTATGTTAGTAATCTAACTTCTCAAGGAAGAATGCTCTAACTATCTAGCAAAATCTGTCATTAAGCCTGTATTTTTACAGGTAGCTCCTGATTGTAGGTACAAAAATTAATAGACTTTATTTAAAAAATTGGGTCCATCTTGGTATCAAGAATTTTTTAAGTGCTAAGTAAATGTAATTGCATAATTGGGTGGGGGAGCATGTATGGTTTAAAGAAGCTCTTCTGTTTTTAGAAGGAATGAATCATAGCACTCTATTGATCAGCTAACCAAGCAAATCACAGCACTTTCATAAAACTGTGTTTGGTTTGTAAAGTAATAGTTATCTGTGGAGTATGTTGGATTTGATGTGATTCATGATTCAGATTTTATGAGTGCTGAATAACAAACTTATTTAGAATATAGGCTGTAGTTTGAAAACTATCACTGTTGACTTCAGACTATATTGGAATTTATGTTAGAAAAATTTGCCATTGTTTTATAAAATCAGTTTTACACAGAAAATACGCACTTACACATTTTAGAGATGGTTATTAAGAATTGCTTTGAAAACTAATACAGGCCTTAGAATCTGGTCAGATTAATTTTAATATCAAAAGTTGAGAAAAAGAACATAATCACAGAGTAAAGAAAGGTTAGACTTCATTTTTTTTTTTTTTTTAATAAAGATTTTATTTATTTGACAGACACACAGAGAGAGCACAAGCAGGGGGAGCTGCAGAGGGGGAGGGAGAAGCAGGCTCCCTGCTGAGCAGAGAGCCCGATGCGGGGCTCGATCCCAGGACCCTGGAATCATGACCTGAGCTGAAGGCAGGTGCTTAACAACTGAGCCACCCAGGCGCCCCCCCCCCCCCTTTTTTTTTTTTAAGATTTTATTTATTTGACAGAGAGAGACCGCTAGAGAGGGAACACAAGCAGGGGGAGTGAGAGAGGGAGAAGCAGGCTTCCCGCCGAGTGGGGAGCCCGATGCGGGGCTCCATCCCAGGAGTCTGGGATCATGACCTGAGCCAAAGGCAGATGCTTAACGACTGAGCCACCCAAGCGCCCCAAGACTTCATTTTCATGCTGGCATAATTGTTGGCATTGAGAGTACCATTAGCTGTTATTTTTGTGTGTTAACTTGGATACTAACTATAGTTGGTGTATAAAGGATTACATATAATGCTCCTGACATTTTGGACTAGGATCCCGGAAAATGTTTCCTTGGACTAGAAGCTATAAAGAATAGATGATATTAACTGTCTATGGAAGTATACCATTTTAAGATACGGTTAATAAAATGTGGTGCTTTATTAGGGGACCTGGGGTATCTGTTAAATTAGGAAGATCAAAATATTATTGGAGATCAATTAATGTGATTAAGGCATCCTTAGGAAGAGTAGAACATAAAATGATGTAAAAGAAAAACCACACAGCATTATAGTACTGGACAATTGGTTAGTATTTAGCATAGTACAAGAGGTGGAAGTGAGAGATGCTATTTGATGGTCACTAGAGTGATACTTTTATTCTGGAGTCGTGGTAACATAGTCTTCTTTATATTAACTAGTTCTTAACATCATTCAAGTAAAAAAAGTGGTTTGTAGGTACAGCAACCAGTTTCAGGGCTGCTACTATACACTTAGTATATGCATTATGCAAGTCTTTGTTAATGCTTTGGCCCTGTCTGAATATGTTGATACTGGGAAAGAAATGCCCTGATTTATTAATCAGTTTGGTGATATTGGTTGATAGAATTCTGTCATTGATTGTATCTGCTTTAGCTTTAGGTTGAATTTTTGGACTTAAAAACCAAGAACCAAATAAAAATTGGGACCCCATCCATCAACTCATAGATATTATTTTTTTATGAGTTCCCATTTAGATAGCTAATTGGCATTTGATTTATCACTTTTAGCCTAATACTAATTACTTTGTAATGTTTTCTGTATTAGTTACCTATTTGTGTAACAAATTATCCCAAAATTAAGTTTAGGCTGAAAATAATAAACATTTATTATCTTATTCTTTTTTTTTTTTTTTGAGTTGAGAATTCGGAAGCAGCCTGTCAGGTGATTCTGGCTCAGGGTCTCAAGCTCAACTGAGGGAGGATTCATTTCCAAGCTTACTCATGTGGTTGTCACGCAGCCTTAGAACACCTGCTTCCAAGTTATTCACGTGGCTGTCGGTAGGCCTCAGGACTCTGGCTGTTGGCCAGAGACATCAGTTTCTTGGCCACCTGGGCTTCTCCATGGGGCTGCTCACAATATGGCAGCTTGTTTACTCTAAAGTGAAGTATCTGAGTGAAAGCCCCCAAAACAGAAGCCAGTCTTTTTATAACCTAATTTTGGGAGTGATAGCCTGTTACTCTGCTAAATTCTGTTCCTTGGAAATGAGTCACTAAATCCAGCCCATACCCAAGAGGAGGCAATTACAGAAGGGCTTGCATACCAGGAAGAGGTGGGATCGTTGTGGGCCATTCTAGAGGTTGCTGACTACACTATCCTTTAAAGTTGAAAACTTTTTGTTACTGCAGAATTCTTTCTTGGAAGGAAAGCTTATGGGGGAAACTAAAAATATAAAGTAGATAAATAAGAAATTCTGCCCCGGGCACCTGAGTGGCTCAGCCGGTTAAGCATCTGCCTTCGGCTCAGGTCATGATCCTGGGGTCCTGGGATTGAGCCCCACAGCTGGCTCCCTGCTTAGCAGGGAGTCTGCTTCTCCCACTCCCTCTGCTGCTCCCTCTGCTTGTGTGCATGTGCTCTCTCTCTCTCTGTCAAATAAATAAACAAAATCTTTAAAAAAAGAAATTCTGTCCAAAACAGGGGTTCTAGGGCGGTAGATCTTAGCTGTCATCCTTCCCCTTTAGCTGCCAAACAATTTGAATATTAATATCTTTACCATCAAACGTCAATCAAGGACATGAATAAATACTGTTTTTCTCATGTTTTCATTTTAGGATTTGTCAACAGTTGTAAAATTCTAGCTTATAAAAATCCGGTATTAAAACATGGAAAACAATTTGTGTAAATGTTTCTGGCAACTTTTAAAGTCAAGTAACTTCCTTTAGTAAAGTAAATCTAATATAATGCCTGGTTTTGTAGCATTAGGCGATATTATTTATATGTTGGTGTGATAATGCTGTTAATCAGTTTGTTTTTGTAGTATTAGCAGATGTAATTTATGTATTGGTGTGATAATGATAGTGATTTACTTACTAACTGTTGCCTGAAATGTTTTATTAACTATTTCCAAATTGTATGTATTTCTAAAAAATCACAAATGTATGTGGTATTTGAAATTCAATTTTAATATTAACATGTTCTTATTGCTTTTATGCTGTAAATTGTAATTCCTAATCAGTAACATAAATTACCTATTTTCTTTATCGTGCAGTATAAAGAATATAGCTTCAAAATAATAGTACCAAAATTAATAACAAACAATAAATCTGTAAGTTTAGAATTTCTTTATGTAGTTCTTTTAGTCCTTAGACTATATCCCTCTAAAGGTGTATAAAATCATTTGAAAACTACTTCTGGGTGGTTATGTCAACAGTTTGATATATAGTTAGATTCTGGGCATTGTTTCCAAATGCTTTATTTATCTTAATTCTTTCTACTGCCCTGCAAAACTAGGTTCTTTTGTTATCCTTATTTTACTGATGAATGTAGTTTTTGCCATCTTGATTTTAAGTTAATTTATGTTAACAAGAAAATAGTACTGGTTTTGTTTGTTTCTCTATGGATTGCTGTAGTGGGAAGTAGGGGATAAAACTGAGGGAAAGGAAAATTTTAATTAGGAATTGAGATGGTGTTTATAATTTGGGGACCTTGAGGGTATATAATGGGACTGAAAGGGCAGTGAGTCATAATGGACTTAGTTCAATTCAAATATAAACACACATCCCCCCCATGTTTGTTTACATATGAGCCATCAGTAACATCACTTAAATATGTGTGAATATGTGTATAATACTAAATTTTATTAAGATGTTACAGGATTCCAAGTCCAGGATTTACTGTGAACAACCTTCTACAACTGTAATACTTTACATTAGAATTTTATTTTTTTGTTAAGATTTTTATTTATTTAATTGAGAGAGGGCGAGCACAAGCAGGTGGAAGCAACAGGCAGAGGGAGGACCAGACTCCCCACAGAGCAGGGAGCCTGATGCGGGGCTCAACCCCAGGACCCTGGGATCATGACCTGAGGCGAAGGCAGACGCTTAACGACTGAGCCACCCAGGCGCCCCTTACATTAGAATTTTAAATCTTAATTGAAAATTAGAAAATAAAGTGCCTGGAATCATCACAACCAGTTGTAATTTAAATTGCTTCTAGCCAAAATATGTCCAAACCAGTGAGTAGTATTGGAAGTGAAAGTTAGCTCCACAGTTTCTTCTGAGCAGTTTTTTCACAAGTTCAGAGTGATTTTATGGAGTAGATTTTCATTACTGAAATGCTTCATTTGGGTTCTTAATTACTAAGGAGTACCTTTTTGTGGTTGAGTGTAGTAATTATTAGAGCTCACACAAGATAGTTTTGAATAGAGGATCCTAATTTCTGGAATTTCTTTTCTAAGTTATTCTGATAAAATCCATGTTAGTTGAGCTTATGGCATGATAACAAACAGCTTTCAGTGTTGGTCTCTAAGTGACCCTTTTGGTTACTTTAAAATATTTTCAAGATATCGTAATTCTCTTGAGTTACTTTAAAAATGCAGTTGATTCTGTTTTAAATTCATGAGTCTAAATGGAGACTGCATTTGCTGTAAATAAAAATTAGAAATTTTTAGTAAGTGACATCTTTTATTCGAGCAAAAGGATAAAATATTTGGATTATTGCACCTGTATCTGTTTTATTAATCCAAACATGTAGGACCTTGTGCCAGGTACTTGTTCACTCTCAGGTAATAGAAGTTAACTAGGAATCTAGAAGAGTTAACTAGAAGACCCTTTTGATATTTATTTCTGTATTACAGTTAGAAATGGATGTCTGTGTAGTGCCCCTGTTTGTGTGAATGGGTCATTTAAAAACAAATGCAGTAATTACTATTTTTTAAAACTCAGATTTATTTTAAAAAGTATATGATTTTTCCAATACAATTTATATCTTTAAATTAAGTAGGAATCTAGCAAAAATTTTGACATGTGCTGTCAACCTTTACTAAATACAAATGTGTCATAATGAGTGAAATGTAAGATTTTCATTAGAATTACATTTTCAGCTTGTTTTTGTTGAATAAGTTTATACACCATTTTATCTTACTTTTATTTATTTATTTTGTATTTTATTTTCTTTAATTAACATATAATGTATTATTTGTTTCAGGGGTACAGGTCTCTATCCTATTTACTTTTAAAACAAAGGAAAAGGGGCGCCTGGGTGGCTCAGTTGGTTAAGCGACTGCCTTCGGCTCAGGTCATGATCCTGGAGTCCCGGGATCGAGTCCCGCATCGGGCTCCCTGCTCAGCGGGGAGTCTGCCTCTCCCTCTGACTCTCCCCCTCTCATGCTCTCTCTATCACTATCTCTCTCAATAAATAAATAAAAAATCTTAAAAAAAAAAAATAAATAAAAAATAAAACAAAGGAAAAACTGGGCCGCCTGGGTGGTCAAGTGTTGGACTCTTGGTTTCAGCTCAGGTCCTGATCTCAGGGTTGTGAGATCGAGCCCCACTTTCTATCCCTCTTCCTCTGACCACCCATGCTGTGCTCGATCTTCCTCTGTCAAATAAATAAGTCTTTAAACAAAGGAAAAGCTATACATTATCTTCGATTTGTTTCCATGGAATTAAGAACCATAAAAACCTTACGTTTCCTGAAGGTAGTAGATGATTATTTAACAGCATAATGGTAAAAGGGTGGAGTATTACGGAAACATGCCTGTATCTTCAACAGGAACTAGTGTTTGAAGCCATCATTTCTGTAGTACGTTAAAGTGAACATGTACCTGATTAATATGTATTGAGTTAAAGGTAATAGAATATTTTCATGTGAGCTTGAAGATGAAATTCTTCTGAGGAGACCTTTTTTTTTCTTTTATTAGAAGTCAGGGTTTTTTGTTGTTTTTAATGACAGGACCATTTTTGGCAATATTTAAAAAGCGTAACAGTTAATCAAAACTTTGTACAAGTATTTAAATTAAAATCAGCATTATTATTTATCGGTGGCCTGGCATACATTCATACGTGTGCGTGCGCTTGGTTTCTTATAGGTGACAAATGGCTATTTTAAAGACTTACTGAGTGATAAAAGGGAATTGTATTGATGTTTTTTTATCTGAAGTCTTATAGATTGTTAATTCACTGTGGCCTCTACACCAAAATTTGGTGAATGTTAATGACAGTGGCTAGTTAAGAAATGGCAGATTTTGATCAACTAATTATCCTTGTACTAATATTAAAAAGTGATGGTGTTGTTTCAGTAAAATGGAATAGTCTAATAGCTGATATTTTTGTATATTAAAATATAGCTGTTATTATAGTGGGAATTTAAAAATGAAACCATTCAAATCATATTTTCTTTTCCTTCTCTTTCTGATAGTGCCAAAAGTTTCTGTTGACATTGTAGTTAGCAAATTGTTTTTGTGTTTACTTTGGGGCATGCATATGCAGTTATCTGGTGAATTTACACCCCTTTCCCCTGTAGTTCTATGTGTATTAATAATCTCAAATAAAATTAATCTTCTTATTCTGCTAGAGAAGAAAAAACTGGATCACTTACCAGTAACTGGAGTTCTCCTATTGGGTAATCTCCACAGATCCACATTCTTTGAAGTTATTGTGAATGCCTCGAGGACCAAGGAACCGTTGAAATTTCCAATTTCAGGAAGGTAAGCAAGTGCACTGAAGCATGTCTCTAGCATTCCCAAATCCCCTCCCCCCAACTTTCTTACATATACGTCTGTACTGCATGCCCCCTCAGTTCCAGTGGATGCCCATCAGGAAGATTCTCATGCTGGACAGAAGGGCAAGAGAGGTGGATCTGTGAGGGAAAAGACCCAATAGGATAACTCAAGTTACTGGTGAGTAATCTAGTTTTCAAAAACTTGAGATTTTTTTTCTCACATTTCTTCTCTTTAGAATGAGTTTGTTTAATTACAAAGAAGAAAGTTGTTTGAGATAGCTTCATTTTGTAAATTTGATGTAGATTATGGAATTTATTGTATGGATGATAAATACCTAGTTCTTAACGGGTGTATGAATAAGTGTGACATTAATTTTAAAGAGTATCACTTACATAATAGCTGTTTATAAAAATTATATATCTATTACCTTCTGGTAAATAGTGTAATACTTCTAAAGCAATTTAAGGAAGCTATGTGTTGAATTATTTTATAAATTCCTTTATTTGTGATGTTGCTTTTACATGAAGTATATACTTACACTGTAAAACTTAGGCTTATGCCAAATTTGGCCAAATTCTTCTGGGATAGTACTGAATAACAAAAAATAATCTTATATTAATCGACTAGCACTTCTTACTGATACAGTTTTCAGTGTACCTTTTAGCTTCATTGTAGGTATATTTGGAAAATAATTCAGGGTGTGTTTACCACTTCCTTGTTCATATAGATGGACTTATTAATTGGTTTATTGTGAGTCTCTGCTTCCACAGGTACCAGACAATTTATTGAACTGGCATGTAAATATTAGAATTGGACAGAATTCCTTGCTTCTAATTTCTCTCTCTCTCACTTATTCTGCTTTGTTACCAGGTTATCCTTTCTAAAAGGGCACTTTTAACACATAAAGAGCCTGTAGTGGTCCTCTGTTCAAGTTGTTTTACAAAATTTTCATCCATTTGCTGGTTACTTAAGGCCTGTCATAATCCAGTCCCATCCTGTTTATCCAGCCTTTTAAATTCTTCACTTTGAAACTTTTCTTTTGGTCTTACTTGTTTACTTGTTACATTTATGCTTTGGGGCTTGTACTTTGCCATTTTAAAAAAAATGACTTTCTTTTTATTCTACTTTTCGATACTCTAAGGCTGAGATCAGGTCCTATCCCTTATACAGTTCCTTTTATGCTAGCATCTCTCTGTGACCTCTGTTTCCTCAGTGGAAAAATGAGATTGCTATGAGAATTGAATTAATTAATTTGTGGAATGTACTTAGAACAATTCCGAGTAGCACACTGTAAACACTCTTTTTAACTATTATTTGATTAAAGATGGAACATTTCTGTGATTATGGATATAATTTTCATCAGTATGACAGAGTTTAGCCTTTAGATATTAGCTGTGGGTGGTATTGCTATTTCTTCTATATGAAACTCTTACGCTGATTTGTATGATCATGGAGAACAAAAATGGGATTTTATTGTTTTTAATTTTATTTAGTTCCTAACATCAGTGACTGGGATTAAATTATACCCATTAAAAAATAGTTTTTCACGTAGTTGATAGAAAAAACTTAGTTTTTCATGAATATATTTACTAGTTTTCTCATTTATAAAACAGGGTCATTTGGCTTATCAATCCTGTTTGTATTGTCAGTTTTTCTTAAGAACAACAGTTTTTTCCCTTTGAAACTGGAATAGTGAAATTATAATTGTTTAGTGCAATGTAAATTTCTTCTATGGGACATTAAAATAGAATGTATAGTTTTGAGAGAGTTAACTAGTTTGGCTTCATTTTAAGACTTTGTGTAGTGTTAGAAAACAAACTGGAAGTTCAGTGTACTTGATTTTGAGGTTTAATTATCTTAGAAGACTATTGCTTGATTTTCAGAAATGTTTGGTTTTAAGATTACCTGTCTGAAGAAGCAGTAGATGAAATCTAATTTCAGGTTGCTGAAGGAAGGGAATGACAGATTGAGTGTCGCTTTTAAATAGTCACCAGAGAACCAATTCAGGTCCAATTAGACAAGCCAAAGTAAAGAATATTTAGATAACTTAAGTGCTTGTTGTGAATTTCCTTCTGCACATCCAGTTTCAGCGTTTCTTTGGTATAATAGTGCTATGGTATATATTAAGAATATCCTTATTCTTTATTCTTTAGAGATACATGCTGAAAATTTTAGAAGGAAATATTATGATGGGTTCAGAAAAAAAGTGTGGGTATTTGGGTGTGTTGTGTATATGTGTGTGTAGAGAGAGATATAAGAAGAGATAAAGCAAATGTGGCAAATGTTAACAATTTTGAATCTAGGTGAAGGGTATATAGGGTATACATTGTACTTTCAACTTTTCTGTGGTTTTGATATTTTTCAAAAAAAAAGTAGAAAGTATTTTAAAAAGAACTGTATTGTGCTTCAATTTCTCTAATTCTAAAATGGGAATAATAGAACTTGTTCTTTCTATGCCTTGATACCGGTAGGCACAGTGGGGGGTACATTTGGTAGAATAGCAGTCAAGAGAACTTTTAAGAAGTGGGGTTTTTTTTTTTTTTTTTTGACATTAAAGAAGAGTTTGATAGCAGACAACTTTCAAAGTACATTTCACGTAAAAGCATATTAGCTTAAAATATATCCCTTTTTCTTATTCAGAGCATATTGCATTATAATTGAACAAGAGCAGCCAAGAAGCAATAAATATGTAGAAATAAATGAAGTAACTAATTGAAATTGAAAAATATAGCTAGTTATAAAATAACTCCATAAATGGGCAAAAAAGATTAGACTTAGCTGAAGAGAGAAGTTGTTAATTTCAAGATAAAACTGATAGGGCGCCTGGGTGGCTCAGTCGTTAAGTGTCTGCCTTCGGCTCGGGTCATGATCCCAGGGCCCTGGGATCGAGCCCCGCATCGGGCTCCCTGCTCGGCGGGAAGCCTGCTTCTCCCTCTCCCACCCCCCCCCGCTTGTGTTCCTGCTCTCGCTGTCTCTCTCTCTGTCAAATAAATAAATAAAATCTTTAAAAAAAAAAAAAAAAGATAAAACTGATAACTCTTCCTGGACAATGTACAGCAAGATAAAGAGATGAAAAGAATGAAAGAAAAGCTAAGCCACCTTAGAAGTAGGTTGAAAAGTTCCAGGGCAGGTCTGATTGGAGTTCCAGAACAGAGAATACAGAGAATGGTGGAGAAGCAGCACTGAAGAAAAAATGACTAACCATTTTCAAGAATTTTTTTTAAAAAGTGGAAATTGTTGAATAATTAGAACTGAATCATAACAAAAGCATTGTATCCGAACTTGAAGGATGCAGGAAAAGTGGTGCTTAGGGGTGAATTTATAACCTTAAACGCATGTATTAGGTTGAAAGAAAATAAATGAGCCAGATATTCAACTCAAAAACTAAAAAAAAAAAAGGAGAAAGTAAAAGCTAAGAAAGAAGGGAGGGAAAAAAAATAAAAATAGAATTTGGTGCAATAGAAAATAATAAAAACAATAGCAATGTTTATTCAGATCAGAGCTGGTTCTTTTTAGTTGATTAAGTTCTGGACATACTCAAAAAACAGATGATGAGGGGCGCCTGGGTGGCTCAGTCATTAAACATCTGCCTTTAGCTCAGGTCATGATCCCAGGGTTCTGGGATCAAGCCCCACATGGGGCTCCCTGCTCGGCGGGAAGTCTGCTTCTCCCTCTCCCACTCCCCCTGCTTGTGTTCCCTCTCTCGCTATGTCTATCTCTGTCAAATAAATAAATAAAATCTTTAAAAAAAAAAATGTGATGCAAATAAAATTTAAAATGAGATATAACTACAAACACAATTATAAATTTAAAAATCACAAGAAATCACTATATAATTTTTATTATATAAGATATATAAATATATAAATAATATATAATATAACATATATTAATATATATAAATAATATATATATATAAATTTTAAAAACCAGATGAACTGGATTGTTTTCTAGGGGAAAAAAATCATTCCAAGATTGTAAAGAAAAAATCTAAAGAAATTTAAAAACTGTTAAAACAATTGAAGTTGTAGTAAATTTCCCCAAGAGGAATAGGTTTTTAAAAATAACAACTTTAGGGGCACCTGGGTGGCTCAGTTGTTAAGTGTCTGCCTTCAGCTCAGGTATGGGATCAAGCCCCGCATCAGGCTCCCTGCTCAGCGGGAAGCCTGCTTCTCCCTCTCCCACTCCCCCTGCTTGTGTTCCCTCTCTCGCGGTCTCTCTCTCTGTCAAATAAATAAATAAAATCTTTAAAAAAAAAAAATAACTTCAGGGGCGCCTGGGTGGCTCAGTTAAACATCCAGCTCTTGCTCTCAGCTCAAGTCTTGGTCTCGGTCATGAGTTTAGGCCCTACGTTGGGCTCCACGCAGAGTGTGGAGCCTATTTAAAAATAATAATAAAATAAAAATAAAAATGGAAACTTTATTGAGCTATAATTCACAAATCCTATTATTTATCCATTTAAAATGTACAGTTCAGTGGTTTTTAGTATTTTGAGTTGTGCAGCCATTACTTTGATGTTTTAGAATATTTTCTCACCCCAAAAAGAAACTGTTGTACCTGTTCGCCGTCAGTCCCAATTTTCCTCAAACCCTCCAGACTTAGGCAACCTCTGATTTACTCTGTTTCTATAGATTTGCCTATTCTAGACATTTCATATAAATGGAATCATTCAATATGTGGCCTTTTGTGACTCACTTCTTTCACTTATAATATTTCTAAGGTCCAACCATGTTGTACCATATATCAGTGCACTTTATTCCTTTTATGACCAAATATTATTCCATTTTATGCATATACCACATTTTGGTTATCCTTTCATCAGTTGATGGATATTTGGATTATTCTGCATTTTTTGCCCATTATGAATAGCTGCTATCAGCATTTATGTACAAATTTTTGTGTGGACATACATTTTCATTTCTCTTGGATATATACCTAGGAGTGAAATTACTAGGTCATATGTAACTATGTTTAACCTTTCGAGG